TTTTTTCGTCGTTGATTTATTTTATTTGACGCGGACGGAAATGGAAGGAGGGACGAAGCGCCGCCTCCGGTGGGCTGCATGTGCGAGGCTCCAGGGTTAATGACACAAATATTGTTTTTTTTTTTAATTTACCACCAATATGGCAGATTAAGAAGTATTTACATAGATATTGTGTTTTGGAGACAACAAACGGCGGCAACACCTGGGACTCAGGCGCCGCCGCTATGGATGATATTTTGGAATAAGTGACGGCGGCGGCGCCGAAGACTCAGGCGGCACCGCCGGTGACTCCAGCGTGTTAGGTGGGAATCTGTCCCAGGTGGCGGCGCCCGAGACTAGAGTGGCGGCGCCTGAGTCATCAGCGAGTTAGGTGGCCCTTCCCCCTATAAAAACCCAGGCAATTTCATTTCAGTTTCACACCACAAAAAAATCGTTACAAACAAAGGAGCTTTGGAGCTCTGGTTGCTGCTGCAAAAATGGCTAATAGGTAAGAGACGCATTTATTTTTGTAATTATATTATTCAAATGTTATTATGATTGTGTTTAGTTTTAATTAGTGAGTCTGTTTTTTTGTAGTGATTTTAGAAGATTTGAACTAGTCGTTCGATGGAAATCGGAGAAAGTAAAAGATAATTTGGGCGTCAAATTCGTTGGTGGTAGTAGTTTTCAGATGACGATTCCGTCCAGGGTTACATATCATTATCTTTGTGAGAATCTAATTCCGAGAATACGGCGTAGAGACGAATCAGTACAAGATAGTGATGTGATCACAAGTTTCATTTACCGTCTTCCAGAATGGCAGAATGGTGTTTTATTTCATTATGCAATGCCTATTGTGGATGATGATAGCTTGAATGTGCTTTGGAATTTTATGGCACAAAATCCTTATTGTTTGGGTGCTGAGATACATGTTGAGCTCAGTGAGAATCAGGGTGGAGAGGTAGAAGATGATACATGGAGCGTGCCATCCGATCATGCCTATGATGACGGTGATGACGGAGAGGAGGAAGATGAGGAGGAGGAGGAGGAGGAAGAGGGGGAAGAAGTTCCTAATTATCCTCCATATTTTTACTTGCAGGGTAATGAAGAGGACGAAGAATACTCACTTGTTGATTCATATGGCGTAATTCCAATGCATATTGTTGATAGTTTTGAAAGAGAATTCTACAAGGGGCAGATATTTCACTCGAAACAAGCTGCACAGATGGCGATTAAACACCACGCACTACAACGCAACTTTCAATATGGCGTGGTGGAGTCGTCACCTTCAATCTGGAAGGTCAGATGCTTGAGGCACAAGGATGACAATTGTCCTTGGATGGTGCGGTTTGGATGTCGAGATGCTGGAGGCGAATGGACTGTGAGAAAGGCTGAGTTGGTCTCTGAATCTCGAGGTGCCAGATGTGGGAATCGCTCCCACGCCCAGAACTGCAGTAGGGCGACCCATCCACCAAGGTCACCGGCTAGAGAAGTGCCGGTATGCGAAATGTGCAAAGTCGACCTACCCATCTCACGGTACAGATAGGATAAAACAGCAGCTCCTCAGGCGAATCCTCCAGCCCTCTCCCAATCCTCAATCAGAAGTAGGTACTGTAGGTGCACCGTAGATCCAGACCGATCCGGGAAAAGTACACCTCCAATCAGAGATAGAGCATAAGCTCGTGCAAACTGCTCTATAACCTCCTGTGATGCATCATCCGGCAGATGGCTGAATTCAACCCTCAGCCATGTAATCCTAACAACAGCGACCCCGCCTACAAGATCATAAGGAACCCGTCCTAACAGTCGCAAACAGATCGCCGACCACTCCTCATCCGGTATATCAATTACGACGGCATCACCGTCGATCGCCAAACCGGACAGTGTAACAACGTCCTCTAACGTGATCGTGATCTCACCACACGGTAGATGGAAGGTCGACGTCTCGGGTCGCCACCGCTCTACGAGCGCAGTAATCAAACTCGCATCGGGGTTCATAGGGACTAGGGGCACGACACTTAACAAGCCTGCCACTTCGAGATATGGCCGATAAAGCTCGTGGTAAGGTACTAAAATGGTCGTACCTCGAACATGGTAAGACCGATCACCAGCCTATAGTGCACAAAACTTATATTAATTCATCTTCATTCGTAATAATTCTAATTTCACCTAATTAATTCTAATCTGTAATCCTATTCTCTAACAGTACAGTTCAGTTCACCAACTAAAATAATCTAATTAGCTAATTAACTTTACATGAATAATTATCAAATACTTACCTCGTTTGTCCAAACAGAGTCGATACGATGTTGGCCATGTCCCCAAAGAAGTGTCGCATCGACCGGACCTGTATCAATTGTCGCCGGCGGTAATCTCATCGAATACGGATCCATAAGCCTAGGAACTGCAAAAACAAAGCAACAAACCATTAAAAAAAACACAAACCATTAAAAAAACATTCAAGCTGCCGACGAGAGCCTCACCGCGCAAACGGCTGCCACGACCTCGCCGGCCTCTCCCTCTGCCTCTGCCGGCGACTTCTTCTTCATCGGACGACATCTACGGGCGACAGCTGGCTGCGGCGGCGATCAACTCTGGGGCGGCGGCGACACGAACAGGGGCGGCGGAGCGTGGAGTGGAGGCGGCGGCGCCTGTCACTGGGGCGCTCTTGCTACCGTCAGCGGCGGCGGGGCCTGGCTCTGGGGCAGCGAGACCTGACAGAGCGGCGGCGGCGCTTTGAACTGGGGCGGTCTCGTCCTGGTGGCTGTGGGTGGGTGGGGTCAGCGACGGCGGAGGAGGCTGTCGGGGAGAGGGGGGGAGCAGTGGGGGTGGAGGGGAGGAGGAGGAGGCTGTCGGGGGAGAGGGGGGAAGAGTTGTGTGGTCAGGAGGAAGGAAAGAAAGGATAAGGCAGGTGGGTGGGGTGGGGTGGGGGGGATTGGGCGGGTTTTTTAAAATAAAAAGGAGTGGGGTGGCGGCGCCAGAGACTAAGGCGCCGGCACCTAGGTCTGCTAGAAGAAAAAGACTAAGGTGGTGGCGCCTCAGTCTACAGCGCCAGAACCTAAAACTACGCTAAAAACACAATATTTTCGTCAATACTTTTTAATCCGCAATATTAGTGGTAATTTAAAAAAAAAACAATATTTGTGTCAATAATCCGAGGCTCCACATAATGGGATTTCTCTTTTTTTTTTCTTTAATTAAATAACGGGATTCTTTTTTTTTAACCATTTTTTTATGGAAGTGGAATTGTGAATAGCAAGGTTGTCAATACAGCGGGTCGATCCATTTTGACCCTGACCCGATGAGAAAAATGGGCCGCACGCACCCGCCGGGTCGACCGCTACAAGGTACCGGGTTGGAGGTCGAATTGTGTCATTTTTTTCTTTGGTTTGCGAAATGCGCATATTTTCCTATTTTCCTTTTCGCCTAACTCAATATTTGGAATCCTAAGTTGAATATTTGAATATTGATATTATATAAGTATGTGTGAATTTTCACTATATGTTTGATCTAAGTACGATATGTTATTTTGGTGTAATATTATATGTTATAACTCATATGTTGGATAAGATTTGATATAGTTTATGAGGATAAGTACAATATAATGACTCTTTCCATATTTTCGGACCAAACCCAGTTAAAACGGTTGACCCATTAACCCTTGACCCAGGAATAGGCTAGCATGGTTACATAATTTTTAGTAATTATGGTGGCTACCAAAATCTACACCTTTAGTTATCTCTACTTTACATTATTTTTAAATTAACGGTGAAGATTAGATTGAGGATAATTTTGGAAATGAAAAAATACCACACCTGATTATTCTATATATTATATTCAAACCCTAATCCTCACCTACTACCCGCTGGTTGACAACCTTGGTGAATAGACAATAGAGTTGAGCTGATCGGAATCCGTCTTTAGATTACATTTATATCACAGTTATATTCATTAGATTTATCTTTCGATTGAGGGTGTAAAATTACGTTTCTGATTTCCTTACCCATCGGCCATCATGCGCATCCAACATTGTTAGGTTTGCATGTCATTCATTCCTCAAATTTTATTCAATCTTGTCCGCGGATATATTAATTACTCATCCAAATTAATATTCTTTTCAAAAAAAGAAAAATATAGTGTTGTGCTATGGGTGGAATGTCATATTTACCGATCGTCAGCATACATATAACGATTGAAATCACATCGATCGAGTTCGAACAAAGATGGCCTACATCATTGATCAAATACTATACTCTTTGTGTCCAAGCACTATAATGAGCATTGCCCGGCGGCTAAAACACTAATGAAGTGGCCAGTTGGTTAGCTGTCCTTTATGTCCCTTTTTTTCCCCCTGTTTTAAATGGCTGGGACTGGGATAGGAATAAAGAAAGCGATATTCATTTCTAAGAATTCTTATCCTCAATTAGGATTTAGGAATAGGAAGAAGGTGGTGGTGGATAAATTGATTGATGTTTATTGGGTTTGTTCCTTTCTCTGTTATAATATTGGCAGGGGACTGATTAAAAACGAAAGCAATCAGAACGTTCCCATTTTTCCAAGGTAAAGTGGTAATCAACAGCAAAAATGCACAATTAGGCACAGGTTTAAGGATTGAGACATCCATGATGTAATGAACAGATTAGGGCACCCACTTGGGGTTTAAGACTTTTGGCTTCCCTAATCAACTTTTTACCAAGTAAAACCGTGGAAAACGAAGAAAAAGTGATTAGTTTGCCCTCCGACAAACAAGACAAAGCCAACCAGTGGTAATAGTACTAGTGTACTAGTATTGCAGTTTGGGGTGTGCAATGGTCTAGTTCGTATTATATCGCACCGGATCAAATCAGTGTTTGACCAGACTGTAATGAATCAAGTATAATGCAGTTTAGTCTTTGATTCTATAAACTTTACAATTACCGAATGAATATTTGAGCCGAACTAAGTGGACCGAATGCAATGATTGTTTCCAGTCCTTGATCCTAAAATGTCTTTTTACTAATGGACTGCTGTTCTCATAAGTTATTCCGATCGAGATCGGACCGAACCGTTGCACACCATTACTTGCAGCGGGAGGTTCCAATAACTTAAATAGCACCTAACTAGAAACAAGAATAGTATGTAGACTCACATCTACAGACCAAATATGGTATTCTAACATTACATGAAGAAAAAACAAGAATAGTATGTAGACTCACATCTACAGACCAAATATGGTATTCTAACATTACATGAATTCTTCTTCCACAGTGTTCTTACATGAATTCAGTAGTCAGACCGCTATTCGACGTCATTAGAGCTTAGACACATCATCAGTTTACTAAGCCAAAATACACATCAAAATACAGGCATTACAAACACAAAAGCCTATACATTTAGGTTATATCATACTTACTTGGCAAGAGATCTTTTCAAGTTCTTCCAAACATTTCCTTGAAAGCAGACTCCGAGCACAGCATGGGCTTCTCAGCGCGACTCGATATGCACAATGCACACAGAGCTGTGCCTGCAACCCTCCATGCAAACCCACATAACCTGATGGCGGACTGCTGTTCCTTGATGCTACTTGCCTTGCGTCTCTGCGACTCTGCGTAATCGTAAACAACCTGATACAACGCTCGAGCCTCGACGAACAGATGTTCCTTCTTCTTTTTGGTCGTATGGAAGTCCACAGCCTCGATGACCGGCCAATCTTCCTTCTTTCCACTTGTATAGACGTCCCCAGCCTCGCTCAAATAGTACTTCCTCGTTTGGCCGTAGAAGATCTGAAGTTAAAGATGATGGAAGTGAGATTAGGGGCTGTCAGTAGTCCATGAACTTGAACATAGAGGGTAATCTAGACTCTAGAGATCGTTGATCTAAATGTGGAACCAAGATCGCCTCACCCGTTTGTATTTCTCGATGACTTCATCAGCAGCCGCGTTTTTGTCAGCTTCATTCTGTAAACTGGATTGCATATCTTGCCTGTATTCATTGTAGAGCATCTTCCACTCCTCGAGGAGTTCTCGAGGAGCTTCTTCCGCAAAGCATGAAAGCTTCACGATTTCTACACACACCATTGACCAAAAGAAGTTTCATGCAATGAAACATGATTAAGTTATAGCTTGGCAGTGCCTAGACGAAAATAGTAGAGGCTTATTACCGCTAACTGGCACATCATCCCTATCTTCGAACTTCGTCACTTCATCGTATATTAGTCCCAGGATGGACGTAGACTTGTAAGACTTATCTTCACCCTTTTCCATGAAGTTCGGGAACAAGTCCACTCTCAACTCTGGTGGAAGTACGACCTGAAAGAAAATAAGGAACTGCTGATGTAAAACTCCATACATAGACCTCCGAGTTTTCAGTAGCTATCATCGCGAGAGCTACAGTAAGAAGAGACTCAGTGGAGTGGATAAACCCAAGTGAGTGAAGACGAGTTGAAGTCCGCATAAAGAGAAATGCAAGGAATTGTAAACAGTCACGTGAGATAATAATTTAAGAAAAATCCACAAGCTACCTTCCATCAATGAACAATGTACTAACCTTAGCTCCACTTTTCGGTGCATCCAGGGCATCGTAGTATATGTCGATCACTTGCAGGATATTCTTCCTCAGCTCACGCTTTTCGGCTTCAAATGTACTTCCGCATCCCAGAGTTAAGAACCGGTCCATCATTGCTAGCCAGCTTTCAGCCGCCATCCCTGTAGTGGCACTGAGAGGAGAGAAAAATTTGAATCTCTAAACATCATCACACATTTTTCTTCACCTTGCAAAACTGTTAATAGAAATAGTGACACTTTTAACCATGAAACAGATGCAAAAAATGGTAATCCTCCCAATATATTTGGCTAAAATGCTAATAGGCCCTCCTTAAGCACAGGCTGACACCATCCAGTCACAGGATTATGATCTCGGCCATTGGATCAGTACAGTGACAATTTTGTAGACAATGTCATCACCATTGAACCAACAGCTGAGACCCCCTACTCTTTGTTCCCATGCTGATGGGCAGCGCAGCAGGGGGTGCGTTCAGCCTATTAACCAGATGGCCTTACAGTGTAGGCATATGTCGTAATCATGATAACAAAAATGTGATCTTTTGGCCGGAGATTCAGATGTAAAACAATATAAGTTTTGGCTGAACTATAATGGAAGCAACCTGACATGATATATGAAATACCTTGGCTGAAATCTTGTTTTTAAGAAACTGTGGAAAAGCACATTCTCTAACTCCTCATCAGACATGCTCCTTGGTGCTTTGCTCGGAGACTTGGTCAGTGAAGAATTGGCTTCCCAAGGTGCACTCTGTCTGAAACTCTCGAGCAGCTGTAGCAAAAGTGAACAGTGCTTCAAAGATCAATTACACAAGTTTACAAACAAACTCCTCAAACCCTAGACAGCCTTTCACAAAGCTGATGACACCAAAAATCAAAGACAGGTGCGAGCGTGTTCAAGGAGAGATAAAGTGCAACAATGAAACCAATATACATCTGAAAAAAGATGGCAAAGGCTTGGAGGAATAATTTATATCTAAGGTAAAACCAAACGATGACCTATGAGCCAACCCATTCGTGACTTGTAACTCGTAAGGATGGATGCAAACATCCAACACAGTTATCATCAGAATTTGAGATCAACAGTTGACTATAAAATAAGGAGGATCATATGAACGGCGAAACATGTAATGGAATTCAATGCATAAGCAATAATCATATCAGATTTCTGCGACATTGCATCGCGGGTTCTCAGCCTCTCACATAGCCAACAATTACTGCTTTGTGCTGAGCGATAATAAGATCTGATTAGAAGTAAATTTTTGATAAGATAAGCAAGCACTGACCTGAGGATATTTTGACACTAAAAACATGTCCCCGTCATAATCACCATTAGCCATTTCGTCGGCTAAGGATCTTGGCCCATCAGTAGGGAAGAAGATTCCAAATCTGGAACTGCCTACGTAATCTTCCATTTCCTTCAGATAGACTGCCTCTAAAATATGGACATCACCAAAATGCAAGCCAGGATTCCGATATACTAACACCTTTCCAGAAACCTGTCCATTGTCTCTACATTTCCCCCAACAAGATCAAGAATTGGAAAATTAGTAGATTACTTATGAAATTACTTGATAAAATCCTCTATTAACCAGCAACTTTTAGTATTTGCAAACGTAGAGCAACTACTAGCAGTGCCATGCAGCAGTTATGAAAGATAGTTCAACTAATGACCTATACCTTAACCACGAAAAGATAGAAGAAAACTATCAAAGAACAACTTCATGGGCATCACAGAAACAAGAAACTGTGTGTCAAACTCAAGAGTTCTAAATACTTCAGTAGTAAACTCGCACAAAAAATAAGAGAAGTAAAAAAAAAAGATCATTAGTTGAATACTCACAATATTATGCAAACTTCACCCTCCTTCAAAGCTCCAGATGGATCAGCTGTCCCCATTAAGTAGTAAGAGTCCGGCAAAAGAAATTTTCCCGCTTTCAGCCTTTTGTTCTCTTCACCCATCAATGCAGGAAGACGAAAGTTCAAGTATGATTCTTCAAGGGGAATCCCAGATACAATCATTTCCTTCTCATAATGAAAGCTGGCAGCTGTGTGAAATAAAACCAGTTTAAAACAATTAAACTAAGTATATGCCAATTAGATTACCAACATGATAACTAATACCCAAACACTGAATCGAACAAGGCAAGGACACTCTTTCAAAGGAACTTCCAGGTACAATAGTGTATCCGTTTGACCAAGGAATGACCAAAATGTTAAGTTTGATATGCTTCAGCAGGAAACCACCTCGAGCTGCAGCACGCCTTTTGAATCCATCAGATCGTGCATCTTGCAATTCTTTATTCAAGAGGTCCATGAAGAAGTCTTGTGGAACACCTCCACTGCTTAGTAGTGCAATCAAATTTCTTGAAAGGTGAGCAGGATTTGGCCGACGGCTGTAAAATAAAAGGTCTTAAAATCAAATTTTCTATCATATCATTTAAGCTGTAGCAGTTTGACTGTTGAGTAAGAAAGCCGGACTGATCATCATCAGTATCTTCCAGATGCCAATCCATAGCCAAGAACATTCTATAGCAAGCCCCAGTGCTTCCAAGACATCCTCCACCTCACAGGCTTCTTAGATAAGTCAAACTTATAAATTTAAATTACTATCTCAACTTATTATAAGCGGACTCTAAGTATGTGTAGACTGTGCGGTACCCCAATAGGCCACATCAATAACAAGGGCATGCCGTTTCATGTGCTGGCATTTGATTTTTATCAAGAAACATCCACATTGTATGGAACATATTTGGAACCAGATGTAGCTCTCTCAAATACCAGGTACAATAGTGTTATCCATTTGACCATAGTGGGATTTCCTTTTCCATTTCTATTTCTCAATTTGTTTTTTGGAATTCCCTTACTAAATCCTGTGTTTTGAACAATTCCCACAACAATGGAAATGAAATGAGAGAAAGACACATAAAATATAATGGATATAAAAAAATAATTAATTTAAAGTGGGGTCCACCAATTCTATTGGAATTGGTCCCGTTCCTGCCACTTTTGATAGAAATAGGAATTCCCAAGTTTTGCTAGGTAAGAAACTACACAAGCTAAAGCAAATTGGCAACAACTTTGTAGATTACCTCGTGTTAACTATCTCCAGTGAATTTGCAGTAGGATTATCTGACAGATTTTGATCCTTATAAACTTTAACCATGGATTTCCGAACAACAATAGTGTTATGTCCAATCTGCAAACGATAGTATTGGAATCAACAACAGATGGAAGATCCACCCAGAAAATGACTAGAGGAAGATCAAGGACCTAGTTGTTATCATGTATGTATTTAGATCTGCAGTAGTAGTAACTGCTAGAACATTATTCAGACAGAAAAAAAGAGTTGAGATAACAATTCACAACATTAACATCCAGGAAGATGCAAAGGAGATCTTGGAAAAGAGAAAATACTAAAAGGCATCAACAAATCATCATTCAGACGCTTCCAAGACTTCACTTTTGGGGGAAACCTTACAAGACTTCAGAACTAGTCTACAGAATTAGAGTATAAGCACATGCTGCCCAACTTTACTGCTTTCACCATTCCCATTTCAAGAATGATGGTCCAACATGCCTAAAATTTGCTACCAAAATGGTATAAAAGGAAGCAACAAAAAAGAAACCAATGCATAGGCTTCTTTTGTTTCTTCGGCTACTTGGCTAGGAAAGACATAGGAGACGTTGCCTAAAGTACCAAACAAGAGAACTTGAAGCGTGTTTGATCGAAGGAAGTTCTAGTAATTTACTAACTATTTTCCTGTGAAAATTTTATTAAAAGAAGTGGACTGATGATAACATTTAACTGGCTCTTTCACAAAGCAAATCTAATTGAGGGTATGGCAGTAAAATTTATAAGACAAAATGCTTGCAATCAAAAGTAAACCATAATGTTTGACGAATGGTGATAACTTGAAAGAAACCCGTGAAAAGTAATGACGGCTACTCAGTAGGAATTGTAGGCACGTAAAAAAAATCAGCAAAACCAGCTACCTACAATAGTAGACACAACTGAGCCAAATAAAGTTGTATCATGTATACATATCAAGTTACCTTCTTGTTAACAAGCAGAGTTCCCTTTACAGCCATTCCATAGTGAAAAAGGCGCAGCTGCATAAGCAAAGGCTTGAAGACCAAAAGAAAAAAAAAATGCAAAAATTGATTAAATGACATCACGATGAGACATGTGTAAGCTAATAACAGAAAGAGGTTGTCCACTCTTACTGGTTCCCTGCATCGAGATCCTGAGAAGTTCCCTTCCTGATTCTGGTCAATAGGAAAGAGTATTACACAACAATAACTCCAAACACAAGGTCATTATATGAAATACGAGGAGCTAGAGGGATCGTGATAGGAAGGGGAATAGGGAGGACAAACTAGTCCTAGAACATGGCAACTGAATTAAATTAACAGTGAATTTAGATAAAAATGAATTTTAGCAACATACCAATTGTTTCTACTTCTAATCGAGGCAAGTTGTAAACAGAACCAAAAAAGAGTTCATTCATCATAAAGAAACTCAGAGAAGGACCATATGCAAAAGAATATATGTACACGTAAGATATAGAGCTGTTGCATTGACAAAAGTAATTTCATCTGCTAGCATGAGGGACTATTTAGCGGCAAAGTAATCACATAATAATACAAACCTCTCCAAATCCACTTTCAAGACACCTCCCTTGAGATACATTTGGGCATAATCGTGCTAAATCCTCTGATATGAACCCTGTACCATCTGTATGTATGAGAAGGTTCCCTTTCTTATCCTGCACGTCGTTATTGTTTTTATCCTGCGTTAAAATAAAGGACAGCATGTTCTTGAGCTCTACTGGCAGGAAGTCAGCAATCCTGATTAAAACAGTTGTTCTGATGAAATGAAGAAGCAAAGTTTTTATGCAATACCCTGCAAGAAATGTCATCTTCCACTCTAACATCCACAGCTGCCAGTGGCACGTCCAGTTTCATGGTCTTTGACAAAACGAGAGAAAGCCTGCATTGCAACAGCCACTGGCAGGTAGACAATAATAACCAACAGAGGGGAGAATGAAAAGGAGAGGATGGTCGTGTTCGATTGTACTAACCTAGCCATATACTTGGATAGATCTGGCAAAGTGTCTAGATGCATAAAGAAAGATCTAGCTTCACGAGTTGACTTGAAGTTTCTATAGCCATCCATGCGGATAAAATAGCACTTCACTGGTGAATTAGCTGGATCTTTTTTCTTTTCTTCCTTCATTCCGTCTTTGAACACTGTTAATAGCTAGATTCAGTCAAGGAATAACAAAGATACATTGCAACCCAGGAGAAACTCAATTTAATTTCAACAGCGGCAGTTCCAGAAAGAACAGAATACTAGCCATTGTCAGTGTCAAAATGGGGTTAATAAGAAAAAAATAATCCTTGCACTAATTTCACTTTCTAGCAGGTCAGGTGAAGTATGCAATTCTGATATTTGTAAAAGTCAATGCATGCACATATCTACGTGAACAATGCTTATCGAAAATCCATTCTAGTGAACTACATTCATCATTCATGTTTGCCACAGAAGTCACAACACCAAAACCTCTAGCATCAGGTAACTCAAATGTTAAGGAAACTTAAGTCAAAGTTAACTAGCAGCAATTCACTTCACCATTATCAAATTCATGCATTCTTTATTTTTGTTTTGACGAAAAAGCATGTTAGTGAGGTTCCAACATCTGAGGGATTCGAACGCAGACTCATGCTTCTGAGGACAGACACTTTCTTAATGAATCAAAATGAACGCAACTAAGCACTATGTTGCATTGACATCATATATTATATCAAATAAACATGCTTAGAAGTTGTGGCACAGAGTCGAAATTTCACTTTAATCTCTATACCCACCAAAAAACCGGAAATGGTGCAGACCAACTTGAATCCCATTGCTAGCAATGCTCATTAACTTTTTATAGCAATGCTCGCTGCACTTTTCTGTCTTTCCATCTCTTGTAAGCCCGTCACTAAACTTGACCATCAAAACATTGTCATCGCCCATGGTCGTTTGCAGGAAGTTTCTCATGTTGGTTACGTAAGGCCCCTGAGTGTTGTACAAGGTATAAGCATAAACAGTAAACATCCTTGACAAACACCTCTAAGATTCGAGGGAAAAGAAAAACAGATGATATACAAGGCTACTATAAATATGTAAAGCCAATCTGGCAGCCAAAGAACCCGTTCATACTTCGAAATGCTTAGCATGTGCACAATTCCAGGAAGAAGTTCCAACCTTGAAAGTGATAGCTAACCGATTATCGAAATGGGTATGGGCCACAATGCAGTGGTACACATGAGGCTTGGTGGGATCCCAATCAACATTCTGCACAACAAGAGGAAATAGAATAGAAACCAGGGGAGACAAACCAATTAGCCAAATTTGGAAGACAGAGAAAGTAGCCATCTCTCAGTCACAGACCGTTTCCTTACCTAACTTCAAACGGTTTTACCTTTATCCTGCATTGCTTATCATCCCCAAGGCAGTGCTTGCCAATAGCATTCCAAACTAGCTCCTCGAAACTTCTCATTGTCGTCGGTAAACCCCAACCTCTCATCTCTCTGATTCGATCCGCCATTTTCTCGTCCAGCCTTTCTCTGCCCAAAGACGACGCAGAACGAGAGGAGACTCGCTAATTAAACCCGACATGCAAATGCAGAAATCGACATTTGGAAGGGGGAAAACAGGAAGATAAAAGCACGCCGGTAACTCACTCTCCGAGATAGCTCAAGATGAGAAACGCCTGCCTAAATTCCAACCCCCTCAGAACCTCCATCGGCGCAGCTGATCCTCCATTCGAAGCCGGAGGATACTGTAATTGGCATTCCATTCCACGAGGAACGAACGGTTGAGGACTCGACTGACCGACTGGCAATCACAATTAGAAAATCAAAAAAGGATTCTAACAGACAGCGTATGAGCAAAAAATCGAATTCAATCCAGCAGCAGCTACTCTCAACAGTACTGACAAAATTTACCTCGATCTTCCACCATGCGCCCCAACGGAGTAGGGCTAGCGAACTGATGCTGCGGCGGCGGCGGCGACGGAGTCGGGGTTTGGAACGTCGACGAAGGAACGCAGAGGCGTTTCGTAGGCGACGGAGACTGCGACTTTTGCCGGAGCAAGTAGATGATAAAGCCGTCGAACGATTTCTTGATATCGTGACCGCGAATCTGGCTGAGAACTTCGATGGACACCTGTTCGGGGACTCCGGCCAGCAACCGCCTCGTATCGAGTCCGAGCGCAGGCTGGTGCTGCTCGTTGCGGATTTTGGCCACGAGCGCCTCCACGGCTTCGGGGAGGGGAACTTGCTGCTGAGGAGAGCTCGCCATGGAAGGTGATCGGAGAGTTGGAGTTTTACTGTCCGTCTCGTCGCTTTATTGCTGGAATGGTGATTGGACTGAAGAGTGATGGGCATTTTGGCAGGAATTAATTTCCACGGCGCAATTTCCCGATTTGTTTATATTTTTTATTTTAAGTTTGATTCTCCCGCTCATTGTCTCTCTTTCTCCGACGGATGAAAGGAGTGGTGATTGGTAGGGGTGGGCATCTCTATTCGATCCGAAACCAGATCGAATTGAGACAGAATCGGTTCGGTTCAAATTTGATTTCGATTTTCTTTCATGCTAAAATTAATTTAGACCACCAAAATTAAGTTAAAATATATTTGATTCGATGAAACATCGATCGAGAATTTTTGTTGAATCTGTGGTCCAAAACTCAAAATCCTTTTGTCCAAACGAGCCATGTATGTTATGTGCAATGTAGTCAAATGCTCGTTTCTAAGCATAAGCTGAAACATGAGTAAAAATGTAAAAGCATAAGTTTTTGTGTATGATCTGATTAATTTTCAGCAAACTAAATATCTCATTTAAAAGGGTGACTACTCATGCAAATAATCTACAAATTTGTAATAGTAGTGCAAACGTACAGCTAAACCAACAATGCAATAAGGAAATAATGATTCATTCATAAAAAAAAAAAGTATAACAAATTAACAACTACACCCCATTATTAGCCACCTTGTTTCAATCTAGATGTCAAATTAAACAAGATTACTGAGACTTATTTTATTACGAGGTTCTTCATCCATTGACAGGGAAAAATCAAATTATTTGTAAGTGTTAATCACTTCAACCACACATCAAACAATAAAGTAATCCTTTTTGAAAATGCATATGCATATGTCATCCTCGCATCAAAGTGACATCATCCCAATATTTGAATGAGTTTTAAATTATGAACTAACAACAAACCTTGAAGGAACCATAAAATTGACGGGAAATTCGTGCGGGGAATTGGGAAGGAAAGAAGAAGAAAAAGGATGAGAGAATAGAGGATCTGCATAATTTTTGGTTTTGCAGCAAGTCAGTGAGTTCAAGGGGGGGTTCCAAAAGCACCAATCGTTCGTCCTCAAATTTAGAGGACGCGTTCCATACTTTATGCGATTTGTTCTGACCGTTCGGATCATTTTTATGATCTTTGGTTCGTCGAGAAGTATTGTTGTTCAGACAGGGTGTGATCATGTAGCCGGGCAGTTCATTTTAGAGAGGATTTCGGAAAAATCAACCGTTGGATCGGCCCAAACTTTAAGGACAGGTTCAAGACTATTTGATGGTCGATTTGACTGTAGGGATTAATATTGTATCGCTGGTTTATTGGTAGACAATACTGGAGAGAGGGTGTGAAATTTGTTGAAAATCTTTCAACTAGAAACGTACAAAACGGATTAGAAACTCGTGTTTACTGTTTTTAGCATTTTTACCACTTTTTGAACGTTTTTACTTTTTACATGCAATATGTTTTTATATAGAAACTAAAGCGTTTTGTCTAGTTAGAGTCGGAAAAACATGCATGTTTGTATTTTAAGACGCGTTTTTTTACTACATTGGTTATGTGGTTGAAATACTTGTGGGGTGATTTACTACATAAAATTGTAAAATAAAAAATATTACCATATATCTAGTGGTAGAAGATGTATTTACATGAATATTGTGATGGAGGCGAAAAATATTGTGATGCATGAGCTGAACGGAAAATAGTGTAGTTTAGCTTTACTCGCGAAGTACCACGTGCCAACCATCATCCAATTATGTGAGTCCTCGTTTGACAATATCAAAGGGGTCGTTTGGAAGTTGCGATTGTTTTGTTGAGATTGTTACTATACATGTATTGTTTAAAATGCTTCATTTTTTTTTTTAGCAGAAACAATGCATGGATTGTTGTGATGTGACAGAAACTATCACTCAAAATGAGTGATTGTTATATCTCAACTTTTCGTTGTGATTGTTGAGATAGTTGGGTTGAGATTGTTTTGTCTCAGCTTTTAGCTTATGTGACATAAACAATCAGACATACCAAACGTTGTATTCTACAATGCATCAAATTCGACAATACGTTTTATTCTACATACATTCACAACAATACATCCATTTAACAATCGCAACTTCCAAACAGTCCTGTAAACCAAACAAATTATCCTGACAATACATAGATTCTTACATCCAACCTGTAAAATACATGAGTTCTTTGTATAATACATAACACGCCCACAGCCTTAAGGCTGCGGCAATAACTCACGTACAACTAACATCTGTTTCTCTTGATTAAATTGATCAATCACTAAAACTAAACTTGAACGAACCAGTTGACATACTCAGCAGCACTACATAAGCAGATAAATTAGTGCAGCCAAGATACAGTGCTTCTACAGGAGTTCTAAACGATTATACATAGCTACATACATACACGAGCCTCCGCGCATAGGCAACTTACTTGGCGGAATTGTTGGTTTGTCCAAACATTTCCTTGAAAGCAGACTCGGAGCACAGCAAGGGCTTCTCGCCGCGACTCGACATGTACAATGCACAGAGAGCCGAGCCTGCTACTTTCCATGCGAAGGCACATAAGTTAATGGCTTTCCTTACCTTCTCGGGGTCATTTGCCGCCGAACGTCTCCTTTGCTCGGCATACTCATAAACAACCTGATATATTGCTCGAGCCTCGTCGAACAATTCTTCCTGCTTCTTCTCGCTCGTACAGAAGTCCCCAGTGGGGCCATAGAAGATCTGAAGTTGAGATGATAGCATGGTTGTCAAAAATGTGATTTTACGTAAAAACAGAATCGAAAAGAACATAGAATCTGGACAAACAAGAGTCTAGCCAATAGCAACAAGGAGGAACGGAAAGTACTTTTATCAATTCGAACAAACTGAGTCTAGCGAACTTCGATCATTGATAAAAATGAAAGCTCAAAACTGTATCACCTTTCTGTATTTCTCATTGATTTCATCGGCAGCTATATTTTTCCCAACTTCTTTGCTGCAACATCTTGCCATCTCAATCCTGTAGAGGCTATACTCTTTCTCCCACTTCTCGATGAGATGTGGAAGAACTTGTCCAGCGAAGCACGGCAGTTTCACGATTTCTACGCCATATCGTTGTTAAAAAGATCATTGAATGCAGGTAACAGCACAAAATTGGTTGACCTTAGCTTTGAAAGGTACTAGCAGAATAAGTAAAAGCTTATTACCACTAATTGGCATGTCATCCCTAGCTTCATACTTCCTCACTTCATCATATATTAGTCCCAGTATCGAAGTAGACTTGTACGACCTATAGTCAGGCTTTTCCATGTAGTGCGGGAATCTATCCATCTTCAACTTTGGTGGAAGTTCAACCTAAGTGAATGAGAAAATGCCGAGTTCAACTCCATGACAAAAATCATCGGTTCCCTAAATAGATAATACTTTTCCTCGGAGTGTTATATCCTTACGTCAAGATCACAATTGCGGCATTTAACGACGATACGTAACAAACTGTTGTTTTTCCGGAGAACAACACTATCACACAAATAAGACCAATGGGAATGCAGAATATACTAACCTTTGCTCCACTTTTTGGTGCATCTAGAGCGTCGTAATAAATATCAATCACGCTCAGGATATTCTTCTTCAAAGCACACTTGTTCACGTCAATTGTACCATCAAATTCCGCTATTAAAAGCCGGTCCATCATTGCCAGCCAGCTTTCAGCAGCCATCCCTGCAGTGGAACTGAGAAGAAACATAACCACCTTTCCTTATCAAATCTGAGGATACCATTGTCGATTAGAAATGACACATCACTTGAACCACGAAATCGTTGCAGAAGGGCAATCGTTTCAGTGGTCATGACGTCAAAAAGTGACCTTTCAGCGGAGAACTAAGATGAGAAAACCTGAACAGCTTCAAACGAGATAAGAGCAACACATATCGAACACTGACAGTAAATGGATACCTTGCATTAAATCGTGTTGCTAAAAATAGTTTGAAAAGCTCAGTCTCCAACAGCTCATCAGACATTTTGCTCGGAATTTCGCTTGGCTTTTCACATTGAGACGCAGACAGAGAAGAACTTTCCCATGGTTCACTTTGAAGAAAACTCTCCAGCAGCTGAAACAAAAGTGCAGCGTACGAGTCATCTTACATAAACCCTCACATTGCTAATGGCTCCCAAATCAAAGACAAGTATAGACATGTTAAAAGAGATATCATATAGTGTAGCATGGAATCAACATAGATTTCAGCACTGATCTGGAGAAACAACTTCTTTCTAGGGTAAGAGCATAAGGCAGACTATGAGACAGCAGCTTAGTATAGGATGGATACATACATCACACACACTTACGATCAAATATAGGAGCTTATGGGGCATATAATGAAAATCAATGCACGAGCAACAATCACGTTATCATCTCTGCGGCATAACATTCTCGGCATAAGCCTCTCACCAGTCAACAATTACAGCTTTTCCTTAAAAGATACTGATTTGAATAAATTAAACTTTTCATAGGCCAAGCAGAAAACTAACCTGAGGATTTCTCGACACAAAAAACATGTCACCGTCATAGTCACCTCCAGCCATCTCATCTGCCAAGGACCTTGGTCCATGAATAGGGAAGAAGATCGCAAATTTGGAACTGCCCACGTAACCTTCCATTTCCTTCAGATAGACGGCCTCTAAAATATGGATATCACCAAAATGCAATCCTGGGTTCCTATATACTAACACCTTTCCGGAAACCTGTCCATTATCTCTACATTGTACCAACAAAAATGAAGGATTCTAGAATTAGCAGATTACTTGATAAATGCTTCATCAACCAGTTGTTATTTTGTAAGAAATTGAGCAAATACTACAACGTGACACCCAATCATTCTGAAAATTTAATATACCTCGTAGCATATAATGTAACATGGTAGAAAGTAAACAAGCACATAACCAGCTTTATGGCCGTCATGTTCAAAAAACCCTTCATAGGAATCATAGAAAAACGGGCAAACATGTGTTGCAGCAACTTCAATTTGTATTTGAGGTATAATTTGAGGACTAAACCTGCAACAAGCTATCAACTATAAGAGCTAAACTACCATCGTCATACTGCACAAACTTGAGTGAATCATAGTATAGTTCACGAGTTAACGACTTTTGACTTCACACTGTTTATCAGTGGAGCCTCTTTGTCATCTGTCGCACCAGCATTCCCAAACTCATTGTGAAACCGACTCCATGTCTCTTGCATGTCAACACATACCGGAAAACTTAGCAAAACTAAAAGCAATAACAGAAGTGAAAGGAAGTAAATTGTGTACTCACAATATTATGCAAACTTCACCATTCTTCAAAACTCCGGAGGGATCAGTTGTCCCCATTAAATAATATGACTCGGGCAAAGGAATTTTTCCTCCTCTCAACCTTTTTTTCTCGTCAGTCATCAAGTTGGGCAAACGAAACTTCAGGTATGATTCTTCAAATGGAATCCCAGATAAAAGCATTTCCTTCTCATAAGGAAAACTTGCAGCTGGGTAAATAAAATTAGTTGAAAATTAAACTTAAGAGTTAATAAGACGGTCAATTGATTTACCAACAAACAACTGGGAAAACAAGCACTAAGGGAAGCAATAAAAGATATTAGCTGCCCCTTAGGAATATGCACAGAAGTCATTCAAAATTTTGAGACATGAAAATCTTCCTGAAAATAGTTCCAGATACAAAAGTATCGGATAATAATGAGTGAAAGCCAATTTGTGTAAACAGATTTACCATCACTGTTCCAGGACTAGTAAATTATCACTGCAATATGCTTTAGGAGGAAACCCACCTCGAGCAGCAGCACGCCTTTTGAAAACAAGAGCATCATCTAAGGCTTTACCCACGAGATCCATGAAGAAGTCCTTTGGAACACCTCCATAGCTGAGCAGGGCAATCAAGTTTCTTGAAAGCTCTGCAGGCTTTGGGCGACGGCTGTAAAATAGGTCTTAATATCAGATTCTGTCATATACCTTAAGCCACAGAAACTTATCTGTATAAAGAAGATATTCAGACAGATTTCCCAGGATAGTTTCTTTCTAAAGCCAATATATGACCAGGAAGATAAAAATTACCAGTGGTTCCAGGACATTCTCTGTCTTGCCAGACTTCCTGGATAATTCAATTTCTCACTTTAAATTATTACCTCAATATTAACTTATCACTCTCCTTTCATTTACAGTAAACTGTGCAGTACTTTAGGCCACATCAATAGCAAGGGCATGCTTATCCATTTCTGGGCAACTGATTTTTTTGACAAGAAACATCCACATATTTGGACATATACAGTCCTTATATGTCGGGACTCTAATAATATATTCTCATCAATAATGATAATAATAATAATAATCATCTACATTTAAAACCAGGAGTAGCTCCCTTACGTAGCTGCTAAACTACAACAGAAGTTTCACTTCATAGACCACCTTGATGCTGGCACTTTCTCTTTCGCTCCTCTAGGACTCATTAGGGTATCAATTAAATGTGATAAGTTCCCGGTTGCTCCTGTTTCTTCCGAAACAAAAGAAATTACAACGGAAGTTTGGTAGGTAAAATACTACACACTCTAACGACCAAGGGTTGTTCTAGTGGTAATACCACTAGCTTTGAACCTGGAGGTCGCAGGTTCAAATACCTTCAATAGTACATAGCTAAAAAAGTAAAACCTATATCACTCTTATAAGGAAGAAAAAAAATACTACACACTTTAAAGCAAAGCAGCAATAACTTCCCAAAGTACCTTGTGTTAACTATCTCCATTGAGTTTGCAGTAGCCTTATGTGACAGATTTAGATCCGCATCAACTTTAACCATGGATTGGCGAAAGACAATGGTTTTAGGAGAAAGCTACAAAAAAGATGGCAATGAGACCAACATTTGATCAATATTCCACCACAAAATAGCTAGAGGGACGAAAATTGGAATGAAAATATTATAAGTGATGTTCTTTTAACATTTAATTTGTGAGGTTCACAATGAACAATTTCAAAAATTAAATTTGGGAAGTTTTTAAACCTTAGCTTGAAAAATGAAAATCAGCTACTATTTAGCCACAAATGAAGAAGAAAAAAATTGTATGAATTTCCATAACTACCAAATTACCTTCTTATTAAGAAGCAGAGTTCCCTTTATAGCTTTTCCTTTGTGAAAAAGGCGCAGCTGCATAAGCAAGGGCTTCAAGACAAAAAAAAACAACCATATGCAGAGAATGATTAAGTGCCATTTAGACTAGTGCATAAACATAAAAACTAGCTAGTTAGAAAGGTGCTTACAGGTTCCCTGGGACGAGATCTTAAGAAGTTCACTTCACGATTCTGATCCAGAGAAATCCACGATTATAATGCAAACAAAAATATCCCCAAAAACAAGGTCAGTACATGAAATGTGGAAACAAATAGGATCATGAGAGGCATAGCACCATGGACAGAATAGGTTCTGGAACCCAGTAGTCAATTGTCATGCACATTGTAGCTAATTAACATTGAATTTTAGATTAGAATTTTTTCTCCAGTAAATCTGTAAATGAAAATGAAATTTAATACCGTACCAAATTACCAATAGTTTCTACTTATTATCAATCTAAAAACAGAGAAAATTTTATTCAGCAAACACAAACTTGAGATACAGGCTGTTGCATTGATTATAGCATACATGGTCTACTGTTGACAGCAATCAGGTACAAACCTCCCCAATGTCACTGTCCAGGCACCTCCCTTGAGTTACAATTGGGCACAACCGTGCTAAATCCTCTGATATGAACCCAGTTCCATCTGTATATATGAGCGGCTTGCCTTTCTTATCATACACAATCTTACCTTCTTCATCCTGCATTAAAATAAATGGCAGAATGGTCCTGAGCTCCATCGAAAGGAGGTCGATAATCCTTATTAAATCATTTATTCTCTAACGAACTGATAGAAAACATAATTTCAGGCACTACGCTGCAAAGAATGTCATCGGCCCTATCAACAAACACATCTGCTAGATCCACATCCAGTTTTATGGTCTTTGACAAAATGAGAGAAAACCTGCATGCAACAGTGAACAATAGGTTCTCAAAACACGTTATCAGAGAAGGGAATGACGAGGGGAGGGGAGGTCGTGCTCGACTGTACTAACCGAGCCATGTACTTGGATAAATTTGGCAAAGAGTCTAGATGCATAAAGAAAGATCTAGCTTCACGAATCGACTTGAATTTCATATTGCCATCCAAGCGGATAAAATAACACTTCACTGGTGATGTAGTTGAATCTTTCTTCTTTTCCTCTTTCTGTCCGTCTTTGAACACTGTTAAATTTTAATAGCTAGATTCTGTTAAGGAGAAACGAAGTTGGGTAGCAACCAAGGAGACACCAAATTTAAGTCTAACAGCAGGCAGTAGTAACAGTCTAACAGAAAAGAGCAAAAGCATAAGCCATTAAGAGTAAAATGCTGACTGCTGGTAGAAAGCATTGTACTAATTTCACTTCCAAGCATACCACAGTAAGCAATTCTGTTGTTGGGAGGAAAGAGATCAAGGGGAAACACACTGAATATATGTCAACAATGCTTATTCTAAATCTACCATATGGTTGTCACAGCAGAGGAAAACCAAAATCTCTTACATCAGGTGAAACTTAAAAGCCAAGGAACTATGTACTGAAGTCAAGAGGCATATAGCTGCAGTTCACCCAGTCATTATCGAATTCATACTCTTTAGAATACCGTATTTATCAATGGAACACAAGAAAAGCAACTAAGTCGGCAACCAACCTATTTTCCGTTTGCACCGAAAGGTAACATTAAGCACACTCTTGAGCATTGTAGGTAGACATAACAAGAGGAGAAATCTTGCTCAAATATGAAATATATGTACCCACCGAAAAAATGGAAACGATGCGGACCAACATGAATACCATCTTTAATGATATCTGTCGCATACTTGGCATAACAACGATCATTGCACTTTGGTATGCTTTTATCTTTGTTCCCCTTGTCACTGAACTTGACCAGCAAAACATTCTCATCCCCCAGAGTAGCATGCAGGAAATTTCTCATGTTGGTAAAGTAAGGACCCTGAGAGAAACAAATAAACCTATAGCAGTAAATATTCCTTGACCAAGTACCTCTAACTTTACCCAAAAAGTAGCACACACACATATAACAAGAAAGTATAGCATACTGTTACTGAGTAAAAGTAGTCATGGCATTCGTAGCTGTGCCCAAGTGTGGCAGCTACTCACTTGAACCAAAAATTACATGCAGCAAAAGACAGTTGATATCACATTTGCCTGTGTACAATTCCAGGAAAAAAGTTCCAACCTTGAACTCATAACTCAACCCAGTATCATAGTTGTCGTGGTGGTTATGGTCCACAGTGCACTGATACACATGAGGCCGCTTGGGGTTCCAATCATCACTCTGCACGCACAGGAAATAGAAACAAGGGAAACCGATTAGCCAACATTTATAGAGAACTAACCATCTCCAACCACATCCCAACCTCACTTGTGAGTTCTCTTTTCCTCTCCCCCTCGTTTACCTTTATCCGTTGTGTTTCATCCCCGATACATGACATGCCAATGGCACTCCAAACTAGTTCCTCGAATTTTCTCATCGGTAAACTCCGTAGCTCTCTGATTTGATCGGCCGTCATATTCATATAGTCTTTCAACTTCTTCCTGTCCAAGGAGGATGCGAATAGACAAAGAATCTCTACTCTACATTAACTCCACAAGCAACATGTGATTTTATCATTTAAAGAGAAACAAAGGCCAATGCGCCAACGACTAACCCTCTCAGGTAGCTCAATATGAGAAATGCCTTCCTAAATTCAAGCTCCTTCAGATGCTCCATGGTAGCGGCCGGAGGATCACGGAAATCGTCCTCCAGTTTACGACGAACGACCCATTGAAGATCCAAGTCACCATCTGGCCATCAGGGGGGGAAAGAAAACATTCAGAGAAAGGGCCGTTAACTACGAGAAGCAGTCGGGGAAATACCTCGAGCATCCGTCATGAGCAGCGTGGGAGAAAGGCTACGAGCGAGCTGCTGCGGCGGTGACGGCGGTGGAGACAGACGAAGGCGCTTCACTGGCGTAGAAGCAGATGATTGACTGAATTGACCAACTGGGCATCACAATCAGAGCAAGTGAAATTCAGAGAAAAAAGGCCGTAACTACTAACCCAGGTAGCTTCCTTCTTCAGGGGAAAGAAAACCAAAACAAAAAAAAATTACCTCGAGTATGCATCATTAGCCACGTGGGTTTAGGGCTACCACTGAGCTGCTGCTGCTGCTGCCGCTGCGGGGATGTAAACGTAGAAGAGGAAGAAGAATACAGTGGAGCAGTCGACGGGGACTGCGACTGCGACGGCGACTTCCCTCGGAGGATCATCTGAACGGAATCGTCGAAAGTCTTACTAACTCCCCGAGTGTCGATTTCGCGGAGGATGGCCATGGACTCAATTTCGCCCAGCCGAGCGAGCTGCCGCCTCGTCGTGAACGGGAGAGGAGGCTGTTTGTGCACAAGGCAGATTAGGTGGATGAGAGCCTCCACGGTGGGCGGCAGGACGTCCGCCATAGAATCCGGCGGAGAAGCTGATCGGAGAGTCGGCGGCGACGGCGAGGAGAAGGTGGAGAGGGAGATTCTAGAGCGGTGGAGGAAGGGAGTTGAGATTGCTGCATAATAATTGCTGCGAAGAAGAGTGATGATCTCATGGATCAATTCCCTATTTCTCCCCCCTTTTTCTTTTTGGATTTTGGGGAAAGTTTGATTTTCTGCTCGGCGCGCGGATTCTCTCTCTGTGCATCAGTTGAAGTGACTAGACGGTGTCGTCTTTTTTTAGGTACCGAATAGTGAATAGTAGTAACTGTCACGTCACACGTGTTGACAAACACAAGACCAGGATTAGGAGCAAGGTTGTCATTCTGGTTTAGTCCGTCGGTACGATTGAACAATTACGTCGAGAACTAACAGTGTGATTGTTTTAGTCCAATTTAGCCCGCATATATAAAAGTCATTGTATTATACTATTATTCATACATTTATAGATTATATCAAATTTCATCTAACATATGAGTAATAACATATAACATTACATCAAAAATAATAAATTGTACTTAGATGCAACATATAATGAATATCTTTCAACATTAATATTCAAATGATTGACTTAGAATTTTAAAGATAAATTTTTCTATTTTTTATGAAAATTTGCCTCCTCTTCATCCCATCTGCATTCCACATGGGCCATCAAATGGGCCAGTTTGTTTTTTTCCCAGCCTGCATATTTCCACCCCAACCCGTTGGAAAGACTAGGTTTGGGCCCGTAGCTCTGCACAGAGAAGACACACCTCCGAATTTTCAAGATAGGATTAGACGAAACAAATACCGGAAAAGAGTCGTATTTTACATGGCCAGGGGGAAAATGATGTTGTGTGATCTTCAACACAGTAACCTTGCAACAGGTCAACCTACGGGAGCGTATAACTCGTTTTTCTGACCAGGTATATATCATTAGTATACAAATGTTCGACTTTGAATTTTAAAAATAGGGTTAAACGAAAAATAAAACCAGAAAAGAATCGCATTTCACAAAGCCAAAGTAAAAAATGATATTGCGTGATCTCCAACACAGTAACCTTGCAGCGGGTCGATTTACAAGTGTCTATGACTCGTTTTTCTCATCAGGTCAAAATCAAAAGAGATCAACGAGTGATTCTACAACCTTGCTCCAGAGTATTAGAAATTCCAAAATATTAAATAGAAAAAAAATAGAATCTAAGATTAGCGAATGACGTCGTTTAAGTTGTACAATGGACTCATTTTGATATCGGGTAAATTGCAAGATTGGTCACTGGAAGTACTGAAAAATTCATGTTTGGTCACTAAAAGTATTTTATTTCATTCGTAGTCACTGAAAATAGTGAAAAGTTTCACGTTTGGTCACTCTCCGTTAATCTCCGTTAACACCGTCAGTATTTTGCTTACGTGGCTAACTGAAATGCTGATTCACTCATTTTTAACCCACCACGTCAGACCCTCACCCAACCCGACTCGACCCAATCCTCCACCGCCATCGCCTGCCATCCTCCGCCGCCACTGGCACCTCCTAGACTGGTAGCTCAACCTTCCCTGTGATCAACCATAGCCTCTCAACCATGAGAAAGAACCAACCCCATTTCCCAAATCCAACGTTGAACACAAACAAACCTAGAAATGGACGAACAAGAAAATGAATATGGTACCATGAGAAAGCTAGAGAGAAAGTTCTGAATTTGGATATCAGGTATTCTATTTCCAGAGCCAAGAGATTGAGAACTCACCATTTTCCAACCCTAATGAACCATCATCGGTGGAATTTCGCTTCCGCCGCAACGAGCTCCTCCCCTCTTTCGATTCCTCAGCCTTCTCCACCACCTCTTGCTCGAGAACTAGAGCCGGCGAGTCAATCGCCGACTTCTCCACCATCAGGACCTTAAGTTTCAGGTGTTTCATTCATGACGTTGTTGCCATACTTGACGGCGATGATTTTTCTCCCGAATCGGTGGATGTAGGGGAGGGATTTGGACAGTATCTCGACCCTGACTTGCTCAGGGGATTTGGTTTGCGATGCTTCAACGAAGGGGAAGGGAACTGCTCGGGGGATTGGTGTGTGCGATGGAGATTCGTGGATTGGAGGATTGAGGGAGTTAGGAATTGCAACAGAAGGTTTAATCTTTTTTTTTTTTTTGTGAAAGGTTGGTTGGATTTTTTTGGGTTGCGTGGGTTGAGATGGAAAGGCCAGATTATGGGTTGGGTTATGCTGATGTGGCGGGTGAGGTTTCATGATGTGGAGAGTTAAAAATGGGTGAATCAGCATATATGTTAGCCACGTCAGCTAAATACTTACAGTGTTAACGGAGAGTGACCAAAGATGAAACGTTAACCACTTTCAGTGACCACAAATGGATTAAAATACTTTTAGTGACCAAACGTGAACTTTTTAGTACTTTTAGTGTCCAACCTTGCAATTATCCCTTTTGATATCATTAGGCTGAGTCCAATGCAGCCTGCATTTATGGGGTTGTTGGCATTAATGGCGATCGGGGAGTTCCAACGCAGAGAAATAAATGCCGAAAATCGGCAATTATGGAGGCGATCGGCAATTGGATCGCTATATATGGGGAGGGTTTGCCGATTTCGGCATTTATGGAGGCCGAGCTGTCTGCTGGGTGGCCCAGCAGACAGCTCGGCCTCCATAAATGCCGAAATCGGCAAACCCTCCCCCATCTCCCTTGCGCGTGCGGCGCACCGCCCAGCCCCGGCGGCTGTGCCGCCCAACACGTTTTTTTTTTAATTGTTGCCGAGTTATTTAAGGCAATTATTAAGGGAGTTGAATATAATTAATTAGGGAATTTGATTAAGGGAATTGAATGTAATTAATTAGGGGAAGGGGAATTAAATTGAATTAATTAAGGGAAGTGGAATTAAATTGAATTAATTAGGGGAAGGGGAATTAAATTTATGTTTGTATTTAGGCTTTTTAGATTGTATTTAATTTGTGTTTAATATTTTTGTATTTAGGCTTTTTTTCTAAGATGACTTAAATTGAATTCATTTTATTTAAAATTTATGTTTATCATCTTTAAGTTGTGTGTAAACAAAAATTAGATCGACATGTTATGTGTTTCTTTTTTATCATTTCAAGTGTTGTGTGTTATTTTTAAACTTTATGATTAGCAAGTGTTGTGTGTAATATTTAAACTTTATGATTAGCAAGTGTTGTGTGTAACCTATGAATTGTACCATTTGAATTATTATGTCAACTCATTAAGCTTTATCATTTTTAAGTGTTGTGTGTAAACCCAAATTAGGTCGTTAATTTTTCGCTAAAAAAAATTCGGTCTCGAAATTTAACAAAATTCTATCGAAAAATTTGTATTTAAAAATGACGACGAACTATACAAAAATTAACATGAACAAATTATATTAAAGTTTCGATAAGTACATTTTTAAATAAATGGAAAAACTGGAAATATTAAGAACTCCAAATATAGAGTTTTTTTGCATTGAAACAAAAGAAGGTTTCAAAAGAAGGAAAAATGGGGTTCAATCCCCAAATTTGGAGTTCAAGGCCCCCAAATTTGGGGTTTTGCATTGGACTTGGCCTTACAATTTACAAGTATACCACCATCAATCACTTTACAGGACCCTATGTTGGAGGAAGAGGTGGAGAAACCCGAAACAACTCTATACATTTCGCTGTCTACGTTCCGAGGAAGAAACAACTTCAAAAAAAAAGTTGCAGATCTATATCTGTGGCGTTACACAGAAGTCAAAGAAATTGTGGTTGTATGAATGAAATGATGCCCCGTCCTAATTAGCGCAGCAGTCTTCTTCACCACATGAAGACACACCAACAGAACTACACCTCCGATTCCCACAGCCGGTGAAATCGAACTTGCAGCAGGTGGACTGTTAACCGCTAGCACAACGCAATCCCTCGTTATCATAACCCAACTCAACCATTCAAGCCAAGACTTCACCGCCATGGTCTTGCTCTTGCTGCTCATGGCTTTCACCCTGCATACGATCCTGCAACACAGAGCTCCAGCGACCAGGAACGTCGTCGGCGACCAACCCTGGTAGCCGACAAGCCTTCCCCCGACGACCAGAGGTTCCTCTCGACAAATGCAGGAGCGACACTCACCCGAGAATTTGGAGGCCACCAGGGCATCGAACCCGGTATAGTAAGGCATGATGACGGAATCCAAGTACAGGCTCGCATGCAGAATTCCAGACACCGTAGAGGCTTCAAAGAAGGCGTACCTTGCATCCCTGTCGATTCCGGTGTCGAATGTGAGGGAGGAAACCTGGAGCAGGAGGAGGATCGCGGGGCCAATGCTCGAAACGGGGAGTATTGTGTGGATTCTGTAGCCTTTGCCGAGCGCCAGGAGGATGGCGGGAAGGAGGATTGGACCAGACGGCAGCAAGTATCTCCTGGATCGACATACCTCGTTGCTGCTGCTTCCTGACAGCACCTCCATCGTCAGGACGATTAGGGTCACCAGGAAGGAAGCTGTTGCGAGCAGGAAGACGAGGATATCGACGTAGACCGGGTAATTCCCAGGGTACTTGCTGTCACAGAAGTAATGGTAAGGGCAGGAGGAAGGGTTGAGCGTTTGTTCCACCTGCCATGTGAGGCACTTGAAGAAGGTGAGATGGATGCTTCCTTCAGATCCCCATTCCGGCTGAAACACATCAGGATTCATGAACTGGAGATTCATTTTTTCTTCTTCTTCTTTCTTCGGTTCACATTGGGTTTCCTCTCCTTTGGTTCGGGGCATTATATGGATTGAAAATGGTGGGGAGGAGGATGGTTGCTGCTAGGCGGAGTCTGTTTGCTTAAGCAAAGTTATTGTTGTCTGTTGAAACGTTGCAGGCACTTGGTGAAAATGGACAGTGAAATGCCATCTGATCGTCTTGGTTTATGACTGACTTTGTAGGTGGTTTTTCTTTTTCAATATCCCTGTCCTGTCCCTATCACTCATCTGCAACTCTCATACCGTATCTCTTCGCCACACGCTGAGCTGTCCCGTCGCTTATCACACCATCGGCCACCTCGTACTTCTTGTAATTTGCTTTCAGGATCTCCACTTGCTGTTTGTGCAGCTTCTCTTCTTCCTCCAGATGTTGCTGGAGAAAGCAAAAAAGAAAAACAACATTTAGGAAAACTACAGATCAAATCGACCTATTATAGACTAGACCATGAAAAGAAAAAGAAGGAAAAATCAGAAACGAGGGCTTCTTCCAAGTGCAACAAGCTGTACCTTATGGGCTAATGCAGCTTCAGTAGCATGCCTTACGACAGCACGCTTCATGTCTTTCGCGACCTTAAAGTCCGGGTCGTCTGCTTCCAACCACTTGAATGTTATTTTCCTGCCGGGCTTTCTTGGACGGTCATCAAACATCTCCAGCTCAGCAGGAAGCACCCTCACTGGCCTTGGCATGCCAGCAATCATGAACGGGGAATTGGTCAGCGTTTGAATGACGTTTTTCGCTTGATTAGGGTCTTTCATCTCGACCAATGCACACCGCATGCTGTTCCTGGGATCCATGTAGTTCGGAATGAAGCTTACATTCTCGACATCGCCAAACTGATCCAACCCAGTTTTCAGCACTGATTCATTAGCTTGTGGTGGGAGTGTGTCGATGTAAACAGTCCGCTCCACCTTTTTCATAAATTCTCTGTACTTTTCTTCTTCAGAATTTGTTGACTCCATTTTCTTGATCACAACCTGTCACATTTGTGGTTAGCCAAATCAACAACAAATTCCAGTTAGCAGTTGCAGGATGATGTGTTCTCAGTTATAATATAGTCAAAGAAGCAAATAGGTGAATAGAAAGTCCTAAAAGCGTGTTCACTGCAGTTCAGGGATCTCAACATACTAAGCGAGGAATTTCTGGTTGCACGGAAAATTTAACTTTAAAAAGGCCATATTTTCAGGTAAGCAATCGGGTACGTTTCAGCAATTCTAAATGAAAATGCACCAAATTTTTAACCATAGCAGTAGCATAAACACTTAAGACTTTTAATGACATGGAGTAAGCTTGACTAACTGAATGCTGTTTAAGTGCAAGGGATTCACTGAAGCTACAAAAGAGCCAGGCAGTGTACACAATAGAGTAACGATTTCATACACCTTTTAGCAATCCAATCACCAATCAAAACATTGATTCCCCTTCGTCGATTACAATCTTTCAGCGTTCCCAACCTGCCTTATGCAGCCACAGAGGCAATGCCCTATTCAACGCATTGATTCTCAACACAGATAATGTTCACTTGCAATCTACTAGTGAAAACCCGATAAGTAGGCTGAATTGAAGTGTAGTGACTACTCCAGTTGCACATAAGATTTCCCACCACTAACAAACCAGTGTAAGCGTGTTCATAAACAATAACTCCAGAACACTCTCAAGTTGCAACCACCAGAAGAAAGTAAAGCAACCATGCAAAGCAAGAACCACTGATAATTTCTTTTTTTCACGCAATTAAAGCCAATCAAGAAAACTGTCAAAGATTATTTCAGAAACACAGAGTGCATTCGTGCCGGGGCGGATGATAACGGCGTTTGAAAGTTTATATGACAAGATGTGGCAATGTCAAAATAGGGTTTTTTGCAGCTAAGCTATATATGGCCAAAGCCTATGACAAGGTGGAATGGGGTTTCCTTGAGAAAGTGACTCGGAATATGGGGTTTGAAGAGAGGTGGATAGAGCTGATCATGATGTGTATACCTACTGTATCTTATTCTGTAATGGTGAATGAACACAGAACTTGCAAATTTGCTCCATCTAGGGGACTCCGACAGGGAGACCCTTTGTCACCATACTTGTTTCTACTATGTACGGAAGGTTTCTCTGCTCTACTTAAGTCAGCCGAAGTAACCATGGAAATACATGGGCTCAAGATTAGCAAGAGAGCACCGCAAGTATCACACCTCCACTTTGCAGATGATAGCATTGTTTTTGCCCGATCATCAAGGGAAGAGAGTGTGAAACTTAAGGAAATATTGAAAGTCTATGAGGAAGAATCCGGGCAGCAGATTAATTTAACATAATCAGAGCTAACCTTATAGGAACAAGGTTCCTATCGGTTTGATATTTGGGGATTAGGGTTTATACGAAAAGAATTAGGGATTTGAGATTGGAATTTGGGAAAGAAGAAGAGAAAGATAGGGAATCGGCCTAGGCCTTGGAGGGATTGAGAACGAGAATTGAGAGGATAGAGAGAATAGGGTTGGGAGACTTTTCTTAATATTCTTCTTATTTCCCATAATGAAACCACAAAGTACATATATAAAGGAAGAGATAGGATACATTGCACGCCAAAGTAGGATACATTGCAAGCTTTGTGTGGAGAAGCTTAATGGGAGCCAAAGATTTGTTACAGGAAGGTTTAAGATGGAGGGTCTCAAATTAGAGTTTGGGAAGACAAATGGATCCCCAACAGGGAGGGTTTCTGCCCGGTTCAAGTTCCAATTGGGGGTGAACCTAGTCTAAGTGTTTCGGACTTAATTAACAGGGAAGAGGGCACATGGAATCATGATCTGATTCACTCTCTCTTCTCAGAAGAAGACCAAACTTGTATGCCTAAGATACCATTGCATAATCCTTCTGAAACAAGATGAAAGGATCTGGACATTGACCCCAAGAGGGGACTACAAAGTTAAATCAGGGTCTAAACTCTACAAGGTACTCATCAATTCAAGACAAATGGTTCAAAAAACACACATCGTCAAGCATGACTCGGTTCTGGTCAAAGCTGTGGAGCTTTAAGATCCAACCCGGAAAATTAAGCACTTTCTATGGAGACTTAGTGATGAACCACAAGCGGCACGGGTTTGTCCAGCCCAGGATCACCAGCCCGGCCCACTACGACGATCAGCCCGAGGTCGTCAACCCAACCCCCGCTACAGCCGCGAGTAATCCACTTCTAGAGAATCAGTTACGTTGCTGCTTGCCAGTAGACTAGGATTTACTTTAGCATTATTTTGGGATATTGGTTTGAATGAGTCTTTTAAGTTTGTTAGCAGCAGAATAATCTCGTTCCACAATAGGTGGGGCATGTAGAGTAGTGTCCAGCAAGGTGAGCTTATTTGTAGGGGTTATTGTTTCAGTTTGGATGGCTTTATAAGCTGGTTACGTCAATGGAATAAGCAAGCAGAATTTGAGTAAAGAAAACCCTGGTAACCTCTCGCCAAGAAAGGAGAGAACTGGCTCAATCCCGCCAAGAAAGTGGATCAATCCATTCATACAATTTCAGCCCTTATCATTTGGTATCAGAGCCCGACATGGGCACCCACGCACAACGACTCGAGGCTCTCGAAGCCGTTGAGACTAGCAACCAACAGAACTTCCAAGCCATTCAAGATCAGCTGGCCGCACTTCAACTCGCCATGACCCAGCTCGCTCAAGCCACTGCTGCCAAGAACGCTACTCCTCCGTCCGAGGAGGGGGATAGGTCCATAAACGGCGCCTCTTACCACGCGAATCCCGACGACCGCGGCAAGCAACCATTCTTCGGCGCGAAACTCGCTCGCCTCGAGTTTCCATCTTTCTCCGGTGACGATCCGACGGTCTGGTTCTCCAGGGTGGAACAATTCTTCGAGTTTCAAGAGATCCCGGAAGAACAGAAAGTTACTCTTGCATCCTACCACCTGGAAGGCGACGCAAATCAGTGGTGGCAATGGCTCCGACGGAACTACCAAACGGAGGGCCTCACTATCACGTGGGACGTATTCTCGTCGGAACTCTGGGCTCGATTCGGCGGCACAGCAGGTACCGGCTTCGATGAAGCACTCTCCCGCATCCGTCAAACGGGTACTTTGAAAGATTACCTCACCGACTTCGAACGGTTAGGCAATCGTGTTCACGGATGGACTCAGCAGGCTCTCGTGGGAACCTTCCTCGGTGGCCTCAAACCCGCCATCGCCGATGGGATCCGGATTTTCAATCCCAAATCCATGAAAGACGCCATTAGCTTAGCGCGTGCACGTGAAGAGCAGCTGACTCGCCACAATAGTCCACCAAGACAGCCGCTTCGAACAGCCATGGACTACACGACCCCTCCGCGACCCAAACCGCGTTCGACATTCGACGCGTCCTTCATTCCCCGAACTCGGCCAATCCAAACCTTCGACGGCGGGCCGAACCAGCATCCACCAGCGCCTCCGGCGGGCACTAATCTCCGACCACGTCCGCCGGGATCCAAACGCATCAGTCATGAGGAAATGCACAGGCGTAGACAATTGGGATTATGTTTCAATTGTGATGCTCCCTACTCCGCTACCCACCGTTGCCAAGGGGGGAAACTCTGGATGATGTGGAACGACGAGGATGATGAAGAAGTAGAGGAAGCTGAAGTTTCTTTCCATGCTATCACGGGACTAACCAGTGGACGAACGCTTCGCGTTTGGGCTGAGGTACAAGGCACCCGTTTGTTAGTCCTCATCGACAGCGGCTCGACGCATAACTTTATCAGCACAAGAGCGACAGAGCTACTCCACCTACCCGTTGCGTCTATACCGGCGATCCACGTCAAGATAGCGGACGGGACTCCTCTCAAGTGCATCGGCAAGATCAATCAAATTCCACTCCACATTCAAGGTAGCGAGTTTACAGTGGATTTGCACACCATTCCCATCTCTGGAATTGACATAGTTCTTGGGGTTCAATGGCTCGCAACTCTGGGAACCATACAAAGCAACTGGCACACCTTGGAAAT